TAACTATTAGTTATCAAATGTAATACATGTATTTTGCTTACCAATTTTTTGGTAATGATTGGCAGAATTAAACCATATTTTGGCCAATTTTCAGCACTTTAAATGTGACTAATTGTATTATTTTACCTAGTGATATATCAAATAACTACTAATCATTAATGTTAAATGTATTTTTGTATAACACTTGCAACTTCGGCTATAACTAAAAATGCTGATTATTTTGGCAATGATCGGCAGAAATTAGATTATAATTTAGCCAACATTCATCACTTTAAAAAAGTAATGAAATGGATTATTTTAACTAGTGATTGTATAAAATAAAAAATAAAAAAAATGAATAAAAAAAGAATTTTGAAACTTGAATCTCTAATTGATATTTAATACTAATTAAGCCTCATTACTCAATTAAATATAATTAATAATATAAAAATTAAATTTTATTTTTATATTTTTTGGCATATTCATTATATTCTTAAAGAGAATTAATATTGTTAAGTTAAATAGACAGTTATATTCATATTTACCTATATAGGTAGTATGCTATTAAAATTGGGACATTTTTTAGTATTGCAGATTCCGTTACTTTAAAATGTTTTATTGCATCATGAACTGTTATTTTATTGCATTCAACAATTTTAGCAATTTTTTTATATTAATCTCCTCATTTATAAACATAAAGAATTGCTCTATGTTGTTCTTTGGTTAATTCTTTTATTTTAGCCATTTTTAGTTTGAAGTAAATAAATGACTGTGAATTGTTATGATGAATTGTTTAAATAATTAATTGTTAAATTAGAAATTGCTACATAAATAAAAATATAAGCAAAGCAAATAAATAAAATAATTATTATTCGGGTAACTAAAATCACACTCTATATATTACCAATTTCAGAAAAACATCCATTTGGAAAATTGGGATATTAGCTTCAGGAAAAGGTATATTCAGAAAATTGGGATTCAGAAAATTGTACTGTAACCTATTCTATGTGCTAGGTAAATTTTAAATTTACCATCACGACTTGAAGTGAAAATCATGTAAAACTGATCATCTGAAATATGCAAAAAGACATTCAGAAAAATTCTTGCCAAGATGATAAGCATTCTTTGACATAAGTTAAAAGATAAGTAATCATTCAATGTTAATTATCATGTATAATGCTAATCAAATTTATCTCATTTCATTCATATAAGTTGAAATGGAAAAATTCTTACTCATATTCTTTTATTGCTAAATTTTTTATGTACTGTAATGTAATTACATCATTTTTCATATCACTTGCATTCACATTTATTCGAAAAAAATTTTTTAGATGATTTAATCACCAATCATGAATAAGCAGACTAGTATGTTTTATTTTACTCATTACATAACTTTGAATTATTAATAAAAAACGCATCCTTTAATTTACATTTTGTAGATTATGATGTTAGAATGAGTATTAAAAATAAAGTTGGTTTTATACTCAAGAATATTTTCTGATGTCATCAAATGTATAGCTTATTTTTACAGTTTTCAATTGTAACATGAAAGTTTGATCAAAATGCATTATTGTATTATTTCTTTTGTGAAAAATACACGTTTATGCATTATTTTATTAGCAATATGCTATTTTAGGTTAGAACAAAATTTGCTATTTTTTACTCCTTTATCCTATCAATTATTATTTGATTATAAAACTCACGCTAGTTATACTGGTACTAATTACAGTCAGAACTTGATATAACGAATCCTCTGTTCAGGTAATATTGTATCGTTATATCAAGTATTCAGTAATAAAAATATTCTTGTTATACCGAACTTAATATGAAAAATTTTTATAATTCAGTTTAACCAAAAATACACTATTAAGTAATATATTATATTTATTAAGTATTATATTATGTTTATAAAATTATTAATAAAATTCCTATTCAAAAATTACAAATTCATCCAAATTTAATTGAAGTGCAAATTTGGATTTAATTTTTAAGACTTTTTTTATAATTCACTTTAAAATCTTTAATTCATCATTAGTAACTTCATAATTTTCTGATGGAAAATTTTGAAAAGTAATTAAATATTAATACTATTCAATACATTGCTTAAAGAAATATTAGGAACAAATTCATCATTGTCATCTTGTATTTCTTCTGCATTAAGTCTTGGTCTCACAGTTTTCACAATTTCATTATCGTCTAATAAAACTTCATCTTCACTTAATTTATCAGCATTAATGTATTCCAATACAGATAAAGTATTATCATATGTCAGCTTCTGTATAACATCATTTAAATCATTTTCATCATTACTCCTATCAAATTAAGTTCTGCATCTACATAATCTAACAGTTCATCTGATGGAATAATACTAGTTTTTAACCAGCAATTTTTAATTGTAGTAAAATTAATCTGATTTCATGCCTTAACAACAAAATCAATAGCATTTTGAATATTAATAGAAGTGATAGACGTATTTAATTGTTGTGAAATATCATACTCTTTAACTCTATTTTCTACTAATAATTTTCTGTATTAGCCTTAATTTAATAAAAAAAAAAATTAATAAAGGTATTAAAATATAATTTTAAATATAAATTCACAATACTTATCTTGAAAGAATTAATGATTCCTTGATCCAAAGGTTGTAAGTATGGAGTTGTATTTAGTGGTAAATAATAAATCTTAATATTACTGAAAGAAGGCAATTCATGTTGTTTACAATGTGTCAGTGTATTATCAACATACAATAAAATTTTTTACAGCGTATATACATTAATCCATTTAATTTTTTCAGATAATCAAGCCAAATTGACTGTTGCATCTATGCTATTTTATTCCAATAATATTGAACAGAATCTTCAACAGTTATATTATGCAATGGATGAGGATTCTTGTATTTATGAATGAATAATGGTTTAAGCTTATCTTCACCTGTAGCATTATATGTTAACAAAATAGTTACTCTATTTTTGGATTTTTTAGTTCCAGTTACAAGGTCCTTATGTAAGGGTTTTTGATAGCTCTAATTGCCAAAATAAAGCTAAAAGAAATAAATAGTAAATAAGTCAAAACATTTAAAAATCAAGCAATAATGCTGTAAATTTAACTGAAAATACCTGTTTCATCACAGTTATAAATGTCTTCTAATGCATATTCAAACAATTTTTCCACAATTTTTTCTCTATATTCATTAATTTCTTCTAATGAAGACCCACTAGCAGCTTCACCTGACTTAATGTATGAACGGATATTATTTCTCCTTTTAAAATTTGTTAGCCAGTCCGCAGAAGCAGTAAATACCAAATCTAACCGCAAACTGCTTAGCTTTATTTTGTATGATATCATCCTTAAATGTTTGTTTGCGGCTAAAAATTGAGATATTCAAATTCCAATGGCATTATCTATTTCTTTATACATGGGTTGCCTTAACCTTTTCCTTTCTAGTTCTGAGCTAGAAACTAATAAATATTCAGATTTCCTTTTAAAATGTCACTAACCATATTAGACTTAACATCATAATAACAAGCAAGTTTAATATTTGAAATAGATGGATTATCAATTTTCTTTTGACAAAGTTCTTGCTTTTGAGATACAGATAGAGTAATACGCTTATTTTTATTATTGGTAAACATAATAGTGAAATAAAAGAGTTACCGAAGAAAATAAAAAAACTTTTATTTTATAATTATAAAATATTTTAATTAACATTCGTTATCTTACTATGTTTGGTAAAAATTAATAAAAAATCGGCATATAGAATAAAAAAAAAATTTTATAACTATGATCAGTATATTGAGAAAAAAATCAGTATCGGCTTATTATGAATAAATATATATAGTTAGTTTATAATCTGACATCGGCATATGTAGTATTGCGGAATTTATAAGAAAATCAGTATATAGTAGTAAAATTAATTATATGTGATTTTGGTTTGAGAAAAAAAATCATTATGAGCTAAAATCGTTTTATCCTAAATCGTTATATCGAGTTCTGACTGTATAATACTAGTGAACGGGGACAGTAGCTAAGTCCAGAGTGTAACACTAGTAACTAATCACATATTGACTCAATTATTGAGTGGAGGGAATGAGTAAAACAGTATAGAATGATCAACTCAAATATTGAACGGGAGAACGCTACGCTCTGATATTATCGCAACGAATTCATTTTTTTTAAAGCAGTATCCACAAATCCTATCATGAAAATGTGGATTCTCCTCAAGTTAAATCTTATTAGTAAGATTAAGACTCTCAAAGACGTTGAGCCAGAAAAACTCAAGATATTTTAATATGAGAATCGCATTAATGCTTTTCAACCGTATATTGACCTTGAATTCCTAACCGAAAGGATAAATGCTAAAAATCCACTCGTTATACGTTATCCTCTTTCTTCTTCAACTGGTAAGTTAAAATAAATATATTTTTAGCTATCGTCAACTCTATTCCATTCTAAGTAGTATGAACTCCAATAGTTATTTTGCGGTTCAATCTCTCGAATTCGTTGGTTAAAATAATTCGTCCACATACCAGTAGGCTCTGGTATCTCGTATGTTCTGCCATCGAAAAAAATTTGAAGAATTACGATTGAGTTCGCTCCAGTATATTTTTGTGTCTAATAATAAAACCAAGGATCAGATGCTGATAGATTGCGAGTACGCATTTAAAGATATTATAACAGATGTCTGACCAAATGAGGTTAATAAACATATAATTCATCTATCAATTAACATACCAGGTATCTATGGATCATGACATGATCATGCAGTTTATGTGCAAATCCATGTACTTACTCGTTTTTTTGATTATAGGAATAAAATTTTACGTTGAATGGAAATTTAAGAAAGAGTTTCGTGATATATTGAAACAAGATCATATTGCTCTCAATACTGTACCAAGATTTAACCCAAATGAATTCCCTCCAGTAATACCTCCAATTACTGACGATGAAATAGATCTCTTCATCAAGAGCTTCTTGCAAAAGTTCTATACATTCTGAAATGAAATAATTAATGAGGCAACCTTATGTGTACTTATATCAATTTTCATAATGTTGTTCATTATGTTCAACTTCATATGAATGAGAATGCATGGCTATCTATAGAATCTGATTTTAACATAAATCGTGGATACAGTTATGTAGATTATGTTGTGTATATCAATGGTAATATGGTCTTAATAGAAGAAGCCAAGTGTAAAGATACCGTCAAGGACATAGCCCAAGTTCTTATGCAAATGCATACTGTAGTGGAAACATTAGGTAAATGCAAGTGTGACTCAAATCCAATTCCACAAATATTTTGTATTGTAACCACAGGTCGTAATTGGCGATTCATTCGCTGGATTGGTCAACTAGAAAGTCCAATGGTCGAAATTTTTGAGGAATATATATGCGGATTTCAGCGGGATGATAATAACTCAAAAAATGTGATTGAATGTATATTACATATTCTTAAAGAGCAGGCTACATTTTCAAATAATAATGAAGACGAACAAGATGTTTAATATCCATGTAATGCTCATAATTAAAAAATCTCGCCTAGATAAAATTGATAACTGTGTATTTTGTATAGATACAAAAATAATTAGTAGTCTTGATCTATTAATAAGGTCAATAAAAGAATTTTAAATTTTTCTCATTTACACTATTAGTGATAGTCTAGTTATGACGCATTAATACTGCACTAATTACAATTAGCAAATGATCATCCCGATGATTATAGATCTCAACTTTCTATGATTTCTCTAATTTCTTAGCGATCTTAGCGATCTATAATTTCTTATATATCTTATATA